TATAAGCTTCATTCGCCTTTTTTGGAAGAAATCAAGCGTCAGCAACCGGACATTTACTACGGGCCAATTATAAATTTTTGCGTATATAAAGAAAAATAATCAACCGATTTCATTGAAATTTAATATTTAAATTACAGGTGTTAAAACAATGAACAGATCTGGGGCAGATTTTACCTTTTTACCATATCTATGGAACAAATAGATGGAATTTCTTGAAAATTAATATTTGAGTTCTGGTTGTCACAAGAAGTTACTGATGATTACTGACGGCACATAATTAAAAACTACTAAGAGCCAAAACCACATTTTTCTAAGTATGTTACCTAAAAGCTTATAAGTGTCCTTAAAATTGTAAAGAAGTGTTTAAAACATGTTTTCGCAACACTCTGGACTAAAGTACTACTTTTACTAATCTAGACAATATACATTGCGGTCTGTTTATGTGCTCACCACATCAGATTTGCTTTTGCAAATATGTTTGCGCAAAATAGAATGTTAGATTCGTCTGATCTTGAAATGCTTATTAGGGAATTAAAAACGAACTAAATCGGCTTATCATGCGTCCCATAATCTCATTCAAATATTTTAAACTTGATAAATTTCCATTTTTTCAAAGTTAAATAATTTTCTCAAGTTTCGATTTTATAAAATAACTGTTGTGAGTATGATAATTTACTGTAAATCTATATTCATGCAACCATATTTTGTTTTTAAATGTTTGAATAAGTTCTTTTATTTTTGTAGATAACTTCAAACTTAATTACAATTTAATTAAATAAGCGTTGTCCGTTTATATTTGACGCAAATGTAATTAATTAATTATGAACATTATTTTTTATACATGGATTACATTTATATTTTTAAAGTATTTTATAAATTAAAAATTTAGAAATTCATTTTTAATTACGAAATCGGCAATTTGTGAACATCACCTAATTCATCATTAAACTGGCTAGTGCATTGCACGTTCCTGTGATATCAGAAGAAAGGAAGTGGCATTTGTTTTCATTTATTTATTTATGCTAGTGGTTTAACAAACTTCTCGAACTCATTAAGATTTTTTCCTCGATACCCAGATTATTATACCAACATTTTGTTCATGTTTAAGTTTTCTTGGGAATTTATAGTTTCCAAGTGATAATGAGAGGATAACTGATAAATTTCTTCTTAAATATTCTGAAATCTATCCAATATCAGTTGCACTGATTTCTAAAAATTTCCCAAAAACAAAAGTTACTTGTATTCTGAAATCTAGGTCTTGCCGACACCTTTCAAACAATCGATTTTTTGTATGACTTTTGAAGTGATAGGCTTTTCAAACTTTTTTCAGAAACCATCGTGAGGTTTTCCTAAACAATTCCCAAACTTTTCTCATGATTAGTTTTAATGTCTAATCAGACAGTAGTCACACATAAGCAAACACACGTAAATGCATTTTTACATATATTGACCTATCCTACACTTAATCTTTAAAGTGCAATTATATTAAATTAGGTCGGAACGTACATATGTACACATTTAATTCATTATGGCATTTTCCTTGACAATAAAAAAAATTAGCTTGGTGTGAAAGTTTTTTTTCCTGTATTAATATTTCGCCAGCGCAACGTCGTATGTTGTATAAATATTCTGTAAAATAGTTTTTAATCAAGTGAATATTATTTGGCTTTAAGAAAAAAATATATGCCATTTTTGAATTTATAGCCTTCTCTGGTAAACAAGAAATTTAGATACTTAATGTCTTGATACACATTTAAGCAAAATTAGTTATCTACAGCTATACAACAAGTAAATGTACATATAAACATGCTATGGAAATATTATGAAAGCATGCTATTAAAGCATAAAACAGTAATATCTTCCACAACAACTATATATAATATATACAACAAGAAGATACAAAAGTTCATTATGTCCTTGACGAATAATGTTCCCTGAAGATAGTTCATTTATACAAGAATAACTAAAGAGACTCGTTTATAAATATGCTGCACAGAATGTTCACTCAACGAAGCTAATTTAGTAAAAAACTTTAAATCATTTAAAAATTGAATGTACTTCATGGTTTCTATGATTTTGTTATACAAAAATACAAATAATTCTTTTAAATATAAATGTCGCCATACATATATATATATATACAAACATATGTACATACTTATAACAACTAAGAGTTGCGATTACATGACCACAAAATTGATACTTTTTTTTGTTTTGTGTGAGTCAACCGTAGAATTTATGAAACAATCTCTCCTTCTAGTTCTCCGCTAGCTCTTACATGTTTAATTACTACAGTCTTTTTCTATCATTGATAAATCGACATAACTTAGTTGTTTAGACATGTTTGTGTTAAAACATATTAATAAATAAAATCGTAAATTTAAAATGTCTCCTTCCTTTTTATTGCTTCACATCAAATATTATTCTATTTAAGCATATCAGTTTGCCAATAGCCGAAACACTTTGTTATACATTATGATATTGATAAAATTCATACAAAAAACAAAAATGTACTTCCGTTTTTATAAGGAAAACACATCCTTCATGGATTTTTTTTTGTTTCTCCTATTTTACGTGTTTACATACAATATGTATATACATATATGTATAAAAACTACTATAACATTAAACTAGAGCACGCGTATGCATAATGCTACGAAGAATTTTAGATATTATTATTTTGTACTTTGCAAATATTTTCAAAAACAGTTTCTCCTACTACAGATATGAAGTGTGACTATTATTTGGAAGCTTTTGGCTTTCATAAAAATGTAATTTGATTGCTAAAATTGTATATTGAGTTATAAAACCTTGCGTAAATTTATGAATAGCAAAATATTTTATTTTTCATTAAATTTTAATCTATTTAATTCTATTCTTTCTTTGATTTACTTTAAATAACTTCTAACACAGTTCTAATGTTCTTGAAAGATTGCAAAATTGATTACAATTTTATTGCAATGAATAAATTTTTATTGTTTAACTTCGATAAAGTTTATAAATTGTAGTTTATAACCTATATATCAATTTCAATATGATTGTTATGTTCACTGAAAGAAAGTACTTAAAGCTTAAACGCAACATCTATTTTTCCGAGGTCTGCAGATATTAATCTCAAGAACTTATTGCTTTGCAAAACGAAGCATTTTCAGAAAAAATTTCAATTAAAATTAATATTGTGCAGTAAATTATAAAACTTAAGTAAAACGTAAATAAAATAGTTAAACTTATTAAAGAATAGTTAAACTTACTATAATATTTTGACTAAAAAGACCTCATTGGAATTTGCTCTCTTTTAAAATAGGTTTTAAATATGATACGAAACTAGTCGAGTGTAAGCATTGCAAGTATTATGTCTAAAGCTTTGAAATTATGTTCCATTCCGCATTGTTTTCAAAATCACCTATTCGCAAGATTGTAATCTTATAAAAATATATTTTTTTATTGCTTTGAAATATTTGCAAACAATTGTTCATTACATTTCATTCAGACAGTACATTTTTTCAAAAATAAATCAGTAATATACACATAGATATGCTTTTTTACGTTAATAAATAATAACATAATTAATTTTTCCGCCTTCAACTCGTTCCTTTGATTACGTCATTCATCTGTTCTGCAGTTGCATGAAGCAATTTCCATTAAGTTAAGTAATAACATATAACTTAAAATAATAAAATCTCCTAAAAATAATTACAAAATAGTACATAAATAAATGATAGCTTCATTTAAGATCTAATTTTTTTTAAGTAATTTTTCTTTTACAAAAATTCTGTATAATATGCTAACCATAATATGCTAAGAACATTATAACTAAGCAATTGCTCCAAAATTTTTCCTGACAAAATTATGTGTCAACAGTTATTCACTTCTCGAGATCATAAAATTTTCTAAGAAGGAATTGAAATATTAATATGTCATGTTATACACTTTTGAAATGAAAATCTATTAGTTTTTACTAGCATGTTCAGGACGCCAGGGGCACCTGTCTTCGTTAATTATGGCATTGAAGGACGAATTTTTTTAAATTATATTTTCTGATTATTTAATCGGTTTTCCTTTACTATACATATATACATTTTATTATATAATAAAGTATATATATATTTTACTATGCTACAATATATACTATACATACTTATATGTATACTTTAAAAAATTTAGTAATTTAACCCTTTGAGACCTAGATAAAGCGAGCATGAGACGTGTTTGTTAACCGCTCTAATTTTTTTTGTAGATCGTATTTTCAATTAAAACCCAAAAACATCGAACGTGTTGTCTATTACCTTCATTTTCTTAAAAAAAATGAGAACATATCAGTTACTCACAAAAAAATTTCAGTTTAGTTGTTGCTCTCAAAGCAAGTGGAATTATGTTGCATGGTAAGCTTTTAATTTTGTTTTTTGTATTTTTTTTTTAATTTTTATTTGTGAAGTTTTTACTGTTTTTACTGTGAACTATTTTTAATTCAAAACAGTTAAATAAAAAATTGAGAAACAATTTTTTGTTTTTGCATATATTTTTTGAGAGTTATATTGAAGTAAAGTTTGCCTAACACAATCGTGTTGATTGGGTTTTAACGCGTCTATTTTATCTTAATTCACGATCGTGTTATCTAATTTTTTTCGCAGCTAAAGAATTAAATCTGGCCAACAATATGGACTTTCAGGCGATTCTTAACATGCTCGATAATTCAGATATCGAGATAGATGACAATGATGAAGATGAAGAAGAAGTTTCATTATTTCAACCCAGAAAACCTGTTGAAGAAGTTAACGACGTTGATTTTGAAGAACAAAACTTTTGTGCGGATGCTGAACCTGCTTCAAATACCACTCGTGAATATTTAACACTAAGAAGGGAAATATGGAAACAAAAAGATTTTCCAAATTACGAGTTACCAGTTAATTCAAAATTTAATAAAACTGGGGACAACAATGGATTATTTCAAAAAATATTTCACAGAAAATCATTTTAAAGAAGCGGTGATATACATTAAAATGTATGTTTTAAAAGCTTTTGGAAATGAAATGTCACTATCGATCACAGATATTAAAAAGTTTTATGGATGTAGTATTATTATGGGATGTTTGAATTTCCCTAAAATGCGTATGTACTGGGCTAAAGCTACGCGAATTGAATTAATTGCCAATTCAATGTCAAGAGACAGATTCATTCAATTAAGAAGTAATATTCATTTCGCAGATACCAGCGAACCCAGCTCAATTAATAAATTTTGGAGAATCCAGCCAGTTGTGAACTTAGTACGTGAAAGATGTAATCAATTAGCTACAGAAATTACAAGTTATAGTATTGATAAGCAAATGGTTCCTTTTTCTGGTAAAAGATCAAAAACTCAAGATCAAAATCTCGTACTATAGGACTAAAAAATTTTGTTTGCACCACCTCAAAAGTTTTAGCTATTGATTTCGAGCTGTTTCAGGGTGCTGACACATGTCCAGATACAGGACTTGGCCATGGTCCATCTATAATACTACGGCTAACTAAATTTATGCCAAAAGGCAGTCACATATATTTTCATAGATTTTTTACGACAGTACCTCTAATAGCAAAATTGTATTCAATGGGCTTTAAAAGGACTGGGACAATCATGAGTAATAGTCTGGGTAAAAACTTTAATTTTCCTATTGACAAAAATATGAAGCAAGGTGAAATAAGTCAGTTCGTGAAAAATGATCAAGTTGCTGCAGTAAAATGGTGTGACACTAAATGTGTCATAGCTACTTCGAACAAATGCGGTAAAAACCCCATTGGAGAGGTAAAGCGTTGGCATAATACAGTAAAACGTCGATTACCTATACCGATACCTTATAATGCAAATATGGGTGATGTTGATATTTGCGATCAAATGATACAGTATTACCGGATTAATATGAAAACGAAAAAGTGGTCAGTAAAAGCATACTTCCATTTTTTTGATTTGGCAATATTAAATTCGTGGATGGAGTACAGGAATGATGCTACACTACTCAACATGAAAAGAAAAGATGTCAAACAGTTTTTGGGTTTTAAGTTCGAAATCGGTGAAGTTTTGTGCAAATTCAAAGATGAACCACTAGAGATAGTGAACGAATTTGCTTTGCCCTAAAACTTTCATGGTACCAAATATCGACCTAATGATGCTCCAGTCATCCGATATGATAGATACGATCATTGGTCTGAATTTATAGGTGGAACTGCAAAAACTTGCCGATATAAAGAATGCAGCAGTCACAAGAGCCAGATGCCAAAAGTGCAAGTGCACCTTTGTATTATTAAGGACAAAGTTTGCTTCAAAGCATACCACACCAAAATTGACTGAACAAAATTAATTAATACAAAATGTGAATTAATGCTGTGAAAATAGAATTAAAACTATATTAATTTAGATATAAGACTCAAAAAAATGTAAACTTTAAAACAAAATATGAACTCAATCTGTGGATACTAATATAAAAAATATTATTTTTGTTATACGAGTACATATATTTTTTTTACTTGTAATGTATATTTATACGAGTAATATGAATTATTTTTGAAATTTAAGTTTTTTTTTGTATTAAAAGTGAATGCAATCAATTAAAACATAGTTTTTTTTCAAAGATAAAAAAAAATTTGAGTCGTTTTAAGACCTAAGCAACACAAACGTGATGCAACTTCCAAAGCGAAAAATTTTTTTCGCGCCATAAGTACACCAAATTTCATTACAACACGAAAAGGTTTTTTTGTCCGGTCTCAAAGGGTTAAAAAATAACAATACATTGTATGTTGCAGCATCTTAAAAAGTTAGTGAATAAAAATTATTTTCACAACTCCCTGTATCACAAGTGAAATCCTTAAATGTAAAGAAACTCAATAACAAACAAGTAAAAACGTTTCAGTCAGTATAAACCGATTGAATTATACTCTGCACCTTTTGTTGTTGTGAAAACATTCTATAGAAACTTCACGGATATGTCTGACATATAACTGGACGCACAACTGCCAAGTTTTATGAATCTGACTTTATTATTTTTCCAAATATTTAAAATAAGCTTTTGGACTTGTATGGGAGCTACTCGAACCTGTCAAACAATTCTAACAAAACTTCAGAAATATATCTGATCAATAATTGGACACACAACTGCTAAGTTTCATGAATCTGACTTTATTATTTTTCCAAATATTTAAAATAAACTTTTAGACTTGTATAGGAGCTACTCGAACTTGTCAGGCAATTCCATCAAAACTTCAGAAATATGTCTGACCTATAATTGGACACACGACCGCCAAGTTTCATGGATCTGACTTTATTATTTTTCCAAATATTTAAAATAAGCTTTTATACTTGTATGGGAGCTACTCGAACTTGTCATGCAATTCCACCAAAACCTCAGAAATATGTCTAACCTATAATTGGACACACGACTGCCAAGTTTCATGAATCTGATTTTATTATTTTTCCGAATATAAAAAATTTGCTTTTGGAGTTGTATGGCAGCCACCCGAAACGGTGCAGCTATCCCATTAAAATTTTTAGAGAATGTGTAGAATATAATTGGACACATGTATACAAAATCTTATGTGGGATACTGGCCATACAGGTATACCTGGCAATGAAGAGACCGATTATCTGGCGAAGTCAGGGGCAAATGCCTCCTTCATTGGGCCTGGTCCGAGCGTGGGTCATTCTATGAGATGTCTTGATCAGGTCATGGTAGCCTGGGTTTAAAGACGTGTTTCGGAGCTGTGGCGCTCCCGTACAGGACTGTTGCGATCCAAAGACTTCTTTTGTTAACGGATCGCGGGCATTCCTGACATTGTAAGGGGGACCCGCTCTTTACTGAGTGTTCTATTATGGTTTTTACTGGGCATTTGCTTTTCAACTCATATTTATAAAAAATAGGTAGATCAAATACGCAACGATGCAGGTTCTGCGACCGGAGCATTGAGGACTCCATTCATATCCTATTTGAGTTTGATGGCTTGGCCCACTGTAGATACAGATTTTTCTGGACCTTGAACTTGGATTCTCATGAATTGTTGTGCATGGCGGACTTGTTAAAATTTATCGGGACCTTAATCTTGAGTTCTAATGATCTGGCACGGGGATATACAAAAGGCCTGTATGGTCGAGGTGTTGATTAAATTCGTCCCATACATAACATAACATATATATTCATGTTGATTATTTTCATATAAGCAATATAGTTAATTGTATTCTTATACAGTTTTGAATAATACTATGAAATATATGTTAAAATTTTTATATTTGGTAGCAACATTTTGAAATGTTAACTTTTTAAACCGCCGTCACTAAACTTTCACTAGCTATTGTTTTAGTAAAACAAAACTAACGCAAAAATATTTCAATGTTGTTTTAATCGAAACGGCAAAAATGTAGATATCATGCTCTGACAGAAAACCTTAGAAATATGTAGAAACACGAAATTAAATGAAGAGTTTGAAAAATTTAATTAACCGATCAATAATTTTGCCATAACAAATTTGAATATCTTTAAAAATGAAAATTTTTTGAAAAAACTTTGTAGTGACAAGTTCTAAATACATCCATACTTGCATATAATATATTTAAATGTCTATTTGGATTTATGGTTTATGGCGCAAATAGGATCTTTCCAATACTTTACAAGTAAAACTTAACTATAACCAATGGTTCATAATATGAATTTTATGTGAACATGTTTTAATAGTTTACGCCAATCCCACAAACGCCATTACTGTGGGAATATTTAACGTTACCGAATCAGAGTAGGTATGGTTATTGAACTTGTAAATTGTATTACTGGTAAAATATGGTGGCATTAAGAAATGCCCCACGCCACCAGTAATTTTTTAGTTTTTTGTGCTAACAAACCAATGAAGTGTTTTTCGGGTTATTTATTTATTAACTTATTAAATTTACATCAAAATATTTACAGAACTAGATTGAATATAACAAAATGCCAGTTTAAAATTTCAAGTTAATAAAATCTTTAAAATTAGTTTATCATTTTTTCTTCTCACTATAAGTCGACCTTATTATATAAAGACTTGCAGATAGATATACATAATTTAGTTCAATCGATTTGATAAATAAATTTTAATATCAAGAATAAAAATTCAATTTAAAAATTTTTTTCCTTTTTTTTTTTAACGAAAATCGCATTGGAATAGAATGACTCACATAAAGCCAAAATATTTATTATATTAAGTTTTGCACGACTGATTTCCATTTAGTCCTTTTTTATATTTTAGTGTAGATTGTTTTCAATTGACTGATGTGCTTAGAATTCTAGTAATAAATTAAATCATGATGAAAAAAAAGATAATTTTGGTTTGAAAAATAAATAAAAGGAGAAACCATTTTTCACTCTTTATCGCTTAGTGATTTTGCAAGGAAATTAAGATATTTGATACTTCTTTTAGTGTTCAGAATATAAATCATTAAATATTATTAGAATTTTATTTTCTATTATGTAGACGAAAATGATTCCATAAAAATTATAAATACAAAAAAACCTAAGTGTTGATTTATTTAAATTTAAAAATTTCGATGCAGAAAAAAAAATAATTTTGTTCAATATTTTAAAAAAAGAGCAAAAATCGATTGTTAAAGATTTTGGCACGTGATAAAATTCACACAAAGTCTTTTAAATTTTTATGTTTCTCTAATGTGTATTCTTAAGTTTATATTCTGGCGCTTTGGTTGGAAAAAATTAAAAGTAATCTGAATGAAAAACATTGATTCTCTTTTTGTTCATTTATTTTGACATTTTATTTTTAAACTTTTGCTCATGTACTTTTAATATTCTTCAATTTTGTGTTCTTATTTATAATGGATCGTGAATTGAGAGCACAAAACATAATGTATCAGTTAGAAAGTAACCCTAACCTACTGATAACTAACACTAGCAAATATATAATATTACATTGCTAGTAGGCAAAAATGGGAGAGGATCTTAATTTTATACATAAATTTATATGCATGGGCCGTGAAAACATTTCCTATATAGGCGAACAAAAAATAATAGATGATTTTGTTTGTTTTACCACTCTTTTCGAGTAATAGGGTGTCAAAGTTGATCTTCCTAAAATGCGCTAACTAATTTTCTAGTCTGTCATAGTGTCATTACACTGTCACTCCAGCGACATATTAGACTAAAAACTTTTCAACTGCTCGAAAAAAGTAAAATGAAGTTAAAAAAGTTAAAAAACCAAAATATTAATTTCATCTTTTACTATGGACGGTAGTTATTCTGTAGTTAATATTGATACTGAGTTTAAACACCATGTAAACATTTAAAACAATAAAAAGTAAGAAATAAACACTTTTAAAGATAAAAGCCACTCAGCATTTTTGTCTCTTTCATACAATAACAACCTATAACTTCTCATATAGTAGAGACTGTTGTTCCTGTTCATCAAAAATAAGTTATTTTTTTAATATTTTACATTTCCACATTTATACTACTCTAACAGCCTCATCCTTTATCTATGTACATATGTAAATCTATTCACAAGCACACATTACTTAAGAGTAGGTTATATTATTCAAGTGATATAAACAAAATTACACTCCAATGTCATATTGTTACATTTTTAATAATAATGTTGATTTTATTTTTACACTCTGCTACACTGTATCATACAAAATGATATCCTCTTTTTTATTAAAATAAATACATATATGGACAATGGAATATAGAGTGATAACATGTCTTGGCTTCCTATTCATTTTATGAAACAACAGCACAAAAAAAATTTTCATTTACTTTTTTTGTTAAGGAATTCTGTAAAAACACAAACATATACATTCATTTCGTATATAGCGGAAATAAATACTCAGGAGAAAATATTTATTTAAAATAGACATCCTAGCCAGTTAACTTTTTATCTAATTGTCTAATTTTATATGATATTTTAAGTTTTTCATTTGACAATAGTGACAATTTCTTGTTAGTAATTTAACTTAATGGAAATTTCTTCATGCAACTGCAATTTTTTAATGAATTTTTCTGCCTTTAACTCGTTTCTTTGATTACGTCATCCATCTGTTCTGCAGTTGCACGAAGAAATTTCCATTAAGTTAAATTAGTAGTGCAATACGCACATTCTTATTAATTTCGC